TACGATGCCTTTACTTACCTTGTTTATCGTTTGTAGTTTAACATTGCACTCAGCAATAATCCAACTTATATATTTATGACAGCGTCAATAACGACTAAATCTGGATCGACAATCCAGTGAATGACACAGTAAACAACAATCCACTCTGTCTGGGTAATAATGACACACCAATCCGCCACCGATCCTTGCAAGCCGACTTCTTTGGTCAATTCTACGGGCTCTCTGGCAACCAAAGTTTGACAACACATTGCTATCAAACTCGAAGTTTGAGTGTGAACATTCCAACAATCCCCGCCACCAACACCAATTTCACAGAGTTAATAAATTGTTGTCGAGAAAATAGATCGGCGTTCAATCTCACCAACTTTTCCATCAAACTACTGGTAGTTGTGAAGAGTTACAAACTCATGTTGATCAGAATCAACCAATCGCAGCTAAATCTTAAATTGTCACATGACCACACCGGGATAGACATGACATGAAAGTTTGACAACATGTTGACGGTGAAAAGCGCTTGACAACTTTAAAATTTTCACAACATGTTGTCAAATCCTTTAGTTTGCCGTGAAGGCTACTCTAGAACCAGCACACAAGGAACCAAAATTTTAACCTCGAATATCCTTAATGTGTTTTACTCGTACCTGATTTAGAGCAATCTAGCTGCATAGCCATCAGCGGCATCAAGGAAACCACTAACAGGTACAGAAGACTGGACTTCTTTCACGCGATCATGGGGCATGTAGTAGAAGGGACATGAATGCTAAGTGATCACGCTGAAATAGTCTGGAACACAAAGGAGAATCACTGACATACAAATGCTAAGATCACTGAAATAGTCTGGAACACAAAGGAGAATCACTGAGACATGAACACAAAGATCAAACACAAATAGTCTGGAACATAAAGGAGAATCACTGAGACATGAACACTTAAGATCAAACACAAATAGTTCTGGAAACACAAAGGAGAGAATCACTGAGACATGAACACCTAAGATCACGCTGGAAATAGTCTGGAAACACAAAGCAGGAATCACTGAGACATGAACACTAAGATCAAACACAAATAGTCTGGAACACAAAGGTGAAATCACTGAGACATAGAACACGGAAGATCAAACACAAATAGTCTGGAACACAAAGGAGAATCACTGAGACATGAACACCTAAGATCACGCTGAAATAGTTCTGGAACACAAAGGTGAATCACTGAGACATGAACACTAAGATCAAACACAAATAGTCTGGAACAATAAAGGTGAAATCACTGAGACACATGAACACTAAGATCAAACAACACAAATAGTCTGGAACACAAAGGAGAATCACTTCGAGACATGAACGCCAAGATCAAACACACAAATAGTCTGGAACACAAAGGAAAATCACTGAGACATGAACACCTAAGATCCCGGTGAAAAAAAGTCTGAAACACAAAGGAGAATCATCTGAGACACATGAACATGAAGATCAAAACACAAATAGTCTGGAACATTGAAGGAAAATCACTGGAGATATTAAACATCTAAGATCCCGCGGAAAAAGTCTGGAACACCACAAGGAGAATCACTGAGACATGAACATGAAGATCAAACACACAAATAGTCTGGACACACTATAGAATCATCTCTGAGACACTGCGCATTATCAGGTTTATATAACCCTTTGTTTCTCATCAACAATTTTGGATGTAAAATGGCTTCATCAGCTTCATATTGGAAGATTTCCATGATTATTTTACTAGGGCTGCAAACAAATACACTTTGAGGAGAATATGTTGTGTTTTATAGGGTAATCTAATACAAATAAATTCATGAATACTTTATCTTTAATATCCAGAAATTATAATAACAAACATGTCATGTGATTTCATGAAGTTGAAAAATTCAAATCGATATTTTTGTATACAAGCAAAGAGCAATACATAGCAAACAATCTTAATATAGCTCCAACTATTACTGTTGTAAGGAGGGTTAAGTAAAACAACACATAGTAGGCTACTACAGGGCTTAAATATATTAAATTTTGCATATCTCACTAAGATAAACAGCAAACTATTTCCAAGTAAAAATTATCTCTTAAAAGCATTCACATTAATATTCTATTCTAGTGACTACAGATAATGAATTGAATTCATGAAGGATACGGTTCGATTCACCATATATGTGAATGAATCGTGAAAGCAGGTGACTATTATATACACATACACATGATTGGAGTGAGACTGTCCATATTGTTACTGTTAGGGCCAATTAAATAATTGTTCTTCACAATCAAGTACAATTTCCAGATGGATAAACTAATGTCTTGTAACTCTAACCTGTCTCTTGACATCATTTGATCCTTTGTTGGAATAAATGGACTTCATTTAGCAAAGCAAACTTGTTCGCTGATGGCCATTTTATATGACTCTCTTGGTTCGACTTGCTTAAAGTCATTAATACAGTAAACTATGAACTGATGAATATAATGGGGTTTTTTATCCTGGCTACTTTCTCTGTTATTTAGTCAAAATACATTTTTTAAATATGGTTATAAAACATTAAAAATTAGTGGTCCCTTTGAGTTCATTAAAGTTCCATATACAAAATACTGTTCATGATTTAATTTAGGCCAGGGGTGTGATGATGATTGTAATTTATCATTGTACATGCTTTCTCCATAAAAATCATCATCAACCCCGCTTAGCCACTAATTAAGAACGGTCCCTAAGGTTGTTTTTTCTCAACATATGATACATAAGATATGTAAAGATAGTTCATAGATGCATACATCAGAGTTCAAATTGACATAGTGTGCACGCTCTGAAATAGTAAACCTCAGAAATCGATTAGTGAGACATTTATTATGTTCATTGATAAATTATAATTGTTGACTTATTTATAACAAATTATAACAATATCTTTTGATATTCATGGGCAGTAAAGTACCTATTTATCGTAGCTCAATTCAAAATATGGATTAATAATTCATGCACACCATTCTATATTTTGGCTAATATCTCAATAGAAGTCAAATATATTCTCAGTCATTCAATAAACATTCTGCCTTCCTTTTGGTCCTGATATATCACTGAAGCACAACTCACTCCAGCAAAGATGTCAACCTAGTTGTTTACATTTTAAAAATAATCCTTGAATATTGGCTGATACTTGCAGCAGGATTAGAGAGACAAATTTCTGTCTTAGAAAGCCCTGAATGCCCTTCTTACTGAACCAAGAAAACGGTTTATATCTCACAATATAACATGGTAGATATACATAAGCATGATTGATATAAATTTTCAGACTTTGGATGATAAAAATAGGTTCACACTGAATATATGAAGAGAAACAATTATGGCAGCCCAATTCCATTACCAGCTCCAAATTACAATTAAATACACAAAATTCCACTTTCAGACACTTTGTTCAGTAGGACCCAGTCATCATTGGAAAAGCTAGGGTGTTTATTATCTTTTCAAACAAAAAACCTTTATGTATATGTCACCTTTGGTAAAAAATGATTTAGACATCTAGTAATCATAAATGGATTATTATTAATCCCCTGCCAAGATTTCACTTCATCAAATTTTACAATCATATTTCTTTTAATTCCCAACCTGGCATAATAGACACTGATTTATTTTCCATGTTGAGAGCAAATAGTAATATTTTGAATGCATGAATTGTAATTTTACAAACATTCCATTAGTATAACATTGCAATGCGTAATGTTTTTCCGGTATATGGAAGTTAAATGTCAACAAAGTGCCCTCCCTTATATGGACCCTCAATATTTAGAGTCGCGGAAACATACATATGTACTTTGAATGAATGTGATGAATAAGATGAAATATGTTCTTACCTATAATGTTAGGGGAATTGAACAAGAACACGTTTAATGCCATTTTGTTCTGACGCGTTGTCATCACACAAACGACGTAGTATTACTAATCTGCAATAAATATAGTAAATGGTCAGGAAACAGAACACGTCTCCGAACAATCTCGCGAGAGACTTGCTTTGGCGACGGTCTTGTTCATCCTTCAAGATGGCTGCTTTGAGAAAATGGACCATCCTTTGGATGAAAAATGTTCTGGAAACTGAAAAATATGCCTTTCTCTTTAGGTTGTTCACTTCGAGAAAATAATTTGAATAGTTTTTCATGTCTACGACGCTGCCTTTTACCAAAACACTCTATCGGAAAGCAAGGTAAGAATTTGGTGCTTTATGCTGTGTCAGTAACTTTTGCAAAGTTTGTTTTGTCAACATATCGAAAAACATTATCACATGTGTTACGCTAAACTATTAGAAGCAATTTTAATATTGACTACAATTTCTATTTAACATAGTAAACCAGTGACCTTTGTATTGTCACGAATGAAAGTGTGTGCAGTCACCTTGTGGGGTTTGTTTTGAAATTTACGAGTTGTGTCCCTTGACTCCGTCAGCGACCCAAGTACATTTACATATCATTATATATTAATCATAACTCCTCGACTGAGTAGCGTACGTAGTTTTGTATGACGTGTCTAGTGATTGTTTATATGTAGAATTAGTTTCCCAATCTTTGATAGTTGCTGTTGATGCGTAATAGTGCCAGAAAAATCAGCCTTGTCCCAGTGGCCTTGAAACTCACGCCATGAATGCAGTCAATTGAAATGAACCCTGTCAGGTAGGCCTTGCGTCCTTCTGCAGTCAGTCTAAATATGGAGAAAGTCACACACAATATTTGACCCCAAACAAGCTACATTTACCAGAACTTATGTCTGCATTGACAGTTGCATTGAGGAATTGTTACCATTGTGCATGAATGAATGCTGTTGGAACATAAGGTCAAACCTTCAACAAGTCACAGTGACATGAAATTATCAAGTCTCCATTCTGCAAATTGTTTTGAATTTAATGGTTAGAATACCTTTTATATCGTTTATTGCTAACAAGAAGGAAATGGAACAGTTGTAGTTTCATTGTGATTGTGTTGCATGGGATACTTGATAAACACTAATACTTAATTTCAGCTTATAAATTTGTGCAATATCAATTTTAGAGGATTAAACAGTCTTGTTGATCAGGAGACATGGAGCTTGCTCATAAAAAAATAGTGCATTGTATTTTAATTGTTAAAGTTTCAAACAGGTTCAAGATTTGGTTTCACATGTTCAAGTACCAGTTCAAAATATTTTGAAATAGTTAGACACTTCCCCTGTAAACAGTCCTATTTACATGATCTGCAGATGCACATACTTGAACTTCACAAGTTTCTTATTATTATCTGTCCCTAAAACACTTGATCTATTGGGACAGTATAGTATATATGGGCCAATACAGGCTTGTCTGTAGTCAACACACATTTTCCAGCTCAGTCCAGAATTGGGCGCTTTAGCATTCCCAGTCCTCATGACAAAGTGCTTTGCTTGATATTGTAGTTGATTAGGTTAGGTTGACAGGTCAGTTGATTATTAAAAATGTCCGGCTTGTTGCAGTAACCTGAATATCTTATGCTATATTTTTGAGTGATGTGTGTGTGCTCCTTCCTTAGTAGTTTTTCAGGTTTTGGCCACCAGTTTTAGCTTTACTGCCATATTAACAGATAGGTTGGGTGTCTTTCCATCAGAGGGGGGCGGTGATGTAGCCTAGTGATTAGAGTGTTCGAAGACCCTTTTTTGATTCCCCACATGGGTACAATGTGTGAGCCCATTTCTGGTGTCCTCTGTCATGATGATATTGCTGGAATATTGCCAAGAGTGATGGAAAACTAAACCCACTCACTCACTCTTTCCCTCAATGCAATCATTGTAATGAAAGCTTTCAGTCACCAAAGTTAATAAATATGGCCAGATGTTTATAGAAACATGGCCCCATGCATGTAACTGATGAGTTTACTCTTGATGCATGCTGCAACTTCATCCCTTATTTTTCAATTTTCCTCCTTCCCTGAACACAACAAAATACCCAACCATGAAATATCAGGATACCATACAGTTCACTGACTGACCGCCAGGTTATTCATTAATATATCCACATCCAGTATTGTAGACAACACCAACTTCACCAAAATCATGACCATTATCAACACAGCTTCATTGATTTGATTATATATAATATAGTAACTGATTCACATTTCCAACATACCTAAACAGGCACCAATGCCTTCTAAGGGCTTGTGACTGTGAGCACATACTCAGGCTAAATCTCAACTAGAATATTTGAAATTATAATTATGGATACCGATCCATCTCACAACATATTCTAATGGCTCAACAGTACAACATGAAAACAAAGCACACCTTCCTGATCTTCATATCAGTAGCAGCAGCTACCAACACATAACCCATGAATATTAGCCTAGCTTCATTTTCACGCTTAGTGCAGCAAATGGCATCTGAAATACTCATATACTGGTCTAAATAAGCTTTCACAAAGGTGTAGTAGATAGGGCTAGCTATTGTTATAGATCATAGATATTGATAATTGTTAACTAAGCATCGATTGATTATAGATAAATATCAGAAAAGTGACTGACCAATAGCACAACATTTCTGATTTCAGCTTACCCAGCCCTAGCCATAGAACCTACCAATAGCCAGTGTAAGATCAAGTAATTTTACCAAGGCCAATATGAAAACGCCCATATGATCATATCGCTAAAGAGAGGTGACTTCACGGTACCTCAAGATCCTTCTTTGCCATGTTTATTTAAGCTTGATAAGGATCTTTTCTCAAACTTCATTCATACACTTCACTGGCCTTAAATACTAAATACATACATAAACTATAAGCTTTTTGTGTCTTATAGCTTTTTCTGTATCCCTCCTCACTTGAGGTATATCCATCAGTGATAGGGACACTGATCTCTTATTGACTGAATATGCATGTCGGCAAGGTCCCTTAATCATTAGATTGCTATTCTACCAAGAAGCCTGTTAATCTTGTATGTACTAATCGTGGTAGTAAGCAGTTTGACTCACTATGTATAATTTCTGTGAGAAGGTACTTGTGTTTAACATGCAAAGTTTATGCTCTCTTGTGTTCATGATAATGATGATTGTACAACGTCTGCTTTATGGGTTACAGATAGCTCAGTCATATAAGGCACCTTAATTAGCTGTCCAGAGTTGCATCCCTTTGGGCAGTCCTGCAAACATGAGATTACAGTTCAGAACTTAGACTCAGTATTATTCGCTAACACTGCTAAACTGAGTCTAACAAAAGCTTGTGGAAGGTTGCGCCAGGTAACCTTTGATTTCTACCTATGACCGCCCAATCAAAGGCTAGACGCCAAAAGGATTTAACCAATCAGACAACGGCTACTATTTAGGTTCGGGCGGACTTACAAAATGGATTTTCTCGCCCCTCGGTCGCCAACACTGATTTCCTAAGAAACGAAAAATCTGCATAAAACACAGATATTTGACCTGCAGTATATACGCTTCGGTTCCTGTTGACATGGTTATCATTAGCTAATATTTCCGCAGTTGACATGCTTGAATACTGACAAAACACTATTTTCAGCTTAATGTTTACTCACTGTTGTGGCGCATCTCTAGGAACCGATCGCACGGAAAATAGCATTCGAATCGCTCGGGTACAAACTTTTTCGAGGTAAAAGCTCAAAAGGTATGTGCTTAACGCCTACTTTCTTTTACATTTGGTAAGCTGTGTTCTGATTGGTCAATTGAAAGGTTACCTGACGCCGAATTCCTTCTACTAGGTTTTGTTAGATTCCGTGATAGCAGTGTAACGAATAATGCTAAGTCTAAGTTTACTTAGACTGCATGAGATTAGTCAGTCGAATACTTGAAACATTGAACAAATGACTGATATCATGAATACAGTAACTGTGCTTGTCCAACGAGTGTGATATCTGTTTGATAGTCTTCACATATGATTCATTATTGTTCAAACAGTTATCACCATGATCTTGATCAGTATTATAATGGTTTGTATTATGGCAAATAACACAATTGGGTGGTCAGGCTCATTGACTTGGCTGACATGTCTTTGTATCCAAATTGTGTAGATCCATCACTGAATTGTCTGGCCCAAACCCGATTATTTACAGCAGCCACTGCCATATAGCTGGAATATTGCTGAGTGCAGCATTTAAACAACAAACAGAAAGAAAATATTGTTCCATAATAATAATAATTCATATATAGCTCCTAGTATCCACCTGACCAGTTGCTCACTTGACGCTGTAATCAGAATCTGATTATTATACCCGGATAACCCAAGCTGCTTGTTAGGCTAGAAGGTTGTGAGTCACATGACTTTATCCAACCGGATACCCATTTTCTACTGGTGAACAGAGGCAATTTTGAACAAACTTGCATGCCTATGGTGAGACCACATGTATCACATGTGCTTTGTTGTGGGGCAGGACTGAAGTCCTAGAAACTCTCAGGAGTCATGTTGACAAACACGGTCACCCATCCAAGAACTCTTTGAGCTCGATGTTGCTTAACTTCAACTGATTCGCGACCTGAGCTCTACACACAGAACCACACAGCGTCACATACATGCATTACATAATGCATTTAGATGTGATAGGGTTTGCCTTGTGGTTAAAGCATTAGCTCATCATGGAATAGTCCTGGGTTCAACTCCCCAATGGGTGAATTCCATTTCTGGTGGCCCCTGCCATGATATTTCAGGAATGTTGGTGAAAGAGGCATGTGTTAAAACCTTAATTCCTAACCCATATCAAACAGAAAAATGTCCCTTTGGTGTTTTAGTTTTAAATTTCTAGACAGTAGTAGCACTCATTACTGAGCTCTCGCGACTGGATCTGCAAGTGACAGAAACCTGTTTTGTAATTGGCTCAGATTGTATGTCTAACCTTTTGAAACTTTAAATCTTCACTGTCTGCTACCAGATTTCTCCTTGTCTAAGGTAGGGTGAAAAACATGCCAACTTAAATTCTTTAACTGGCTAGTTACAACTGTTCGGCAAGCCAGTGCTGATGAATTCTTTTTACACATAGTCCATGATGTTTAGTAGCCAGTGACTCCACCAATATTGCATCTTGATGTCTAGTACTAGTAGCCAATAACTAACACTATATCATGGTCTCCATATTGACAGCCAGCTGACTGATGGCAGTAAAGATGTATAACCTCTCTGGATGAAGTACATTCTACATCAGCAAACAATATCCCCCTTTCATTCCTGTCCACTTATCCTTCATGTAGGAATTCCAGGTTAGAATACAACCCCAGTAAGCTTATGATGCTGGTTGAAAGAGGCAGCCCCGAACATGTGGTCTCTCTGCAAGTTAGTTGTATGTGCGAAATGACATTCATAATATCACTCACAGCATTGTTGGTCCAGACTTGATTACAAGTACACACAAGCTGTCATCAGGTGCTTAAATGAGGTGTATGATGTGGGTTTTTTTATGTATATTTAAGTGTTGGACAATCCTTAATCTGAAGTTATGAGTGGAGGTAGATCTTTTCCACTTTCTACACATTATAGTGGAAGATAAATTTGTGTTTAAAGGCAATATATATTTTTAAAAATTTGAAAGTGTTCACTTTTTTTTTCAAAGGTATTTCAATCCTGCTGTCATATGAAACCTAGTTGCTGTCGGGTGCAACCATACACAATAACCGTTGTATCAGATATGAACAGGTTGCACCTGCTGCTCAGAATAAAATTAATATAATGCTT